TGTTTGAAAATCTATAATCTTAAAAGTTTCTTTTTATCACACTATACCTTTTTCCTCTACTTGTCCCTTAAATTTTGTGACATTAACTTTTACTTAATCTTTTTTAAAACTTTTTTATGCTTAATTACAAAATAAAATTTATTTCAAACAAAAAACAATTTAAAACAATGACTAGCGATCTTAAGTAACTTTTTAAGTGCAAAAATATTTAAATTTTAATAACATTCAAATTGCTCGGCTTTAATGAAATAGAATATTTGTAATGTGGAAAAGTGGTCAATGGTGTTAATCTAATACATAATGAGGTATAATATACAAACTTTTGAATCTATGTCTTTATCCCACAAATCATTTATGGTGCAACCATTAAAACAGCACCTGCACCAAATAATGCTAATAAAGTTGGATCAGGTAAGCAACCATGTGCAGTTGCAAAAGAAAGACTCCAATAACAAGGCCATAAGAGTAGCCATGTACCTATAAAGAAGATTATTTAAGAGAATAGAAAACATTAAAGCATTTCACCAATAAATAAATTTTTAGGATACCTATATAAGTAACTATAGATTTAAATGCTTAATTTTGAATGAATCTATGACAGTGCAAGTAAACATCATTTTGCCAATTGCACATTTATACTACATGTTTTTACTTAGTTTTCAGATCTCTGTTTAGCAAAATAAAAATAATTAACTTTAAAGAAACAATTATTTTTCTTTTTAATATGTGAAGGTGATCATTGTATAGATATTTAGGGGTGGAAATTTTGACGCCAACGACATTAACAAAATCAACCTGTATAGTTCTAGTCTTTATCAGTTTCTGTTGTTGAACACTTTTCTTCAATTTTTATCAATTTTTCAAGGTATTGCATCAACTTATGGGTTGCATTAATCAATACAATTTTAATAATTAAACTATAACAAATACAAGACTTTGTTTAATTAATCTTCAGTTATAAACTTATTTTATTTTTCGTAGATCCAGCTCCTTGCATATGAAAAAAAAATATTTTCTATTTAGTTCTCATGGAACATGATAATAATTTTGGTGCTACTTAGAAAATAGTGTTTATTAATGGTAAAGTACCAAATGAAGTTATAAGCATTAAGTAAAATGTCAATAATTATCAAGAACTTTTTCAGTTAATCACTTACTTAAATGCTAAACATGTATAAACCTGTATAAATAATTTATAATTTCTTTAATACTCTGTATAATTAAATAATACTTAAAAGTCTTTAAAGCGAAATATTTAAATTTAATGATCAGGGGTCTGTCCAGACCGAATTTACTACCGTTTAGCGGTACTTTCACAAATTCAATTTTAGGTAAAACGGTAGTTTCACAAATTCAACTTTAGAAAAAACGGTAGTTTCACAATATACTTTTTCTTAAAATTTTATTTTTGTATCCCTTAAGAAACGATAAATCTATATTTTTACTATGTTCTTGTGTTGATTTTTTAATATAATTTTTAATTTTTCACAAATTACGTCTAAATTTTCACAAAATAGGTACCTTTCAGAAAAACCTAGACAGACCCCTGATGATGCTAATGTTATATAGCTTACAAAATATATCTAATAAAACATTGAGTATGTATATTGCCATTCATTTGCGATAAAATAATGAAATAAAGAAAGCATAAAAATATTTTATATTACAAACACAAAATATAATTACCAGTAGGTTTTTCGATTCTCATCAATTTCAAATAAGGTTGAACGCCGGCTGGGGTTTTATTAACAAAGGCTTCCATTATAGTATGTTTATCTTGATGCAGTGAATATTGACTTTTTTCTTGTGAGATTGTTGATTTAAAAAATAATTGGCAACATGCTGGATTCAGATTATTGTACGCCATCATATTGAAGGTTTGTAGCTTTGATTTGGTAAATGTTGATCTACAACTTGTAGGAATTCCTTTAAAACAAGGCTGCTTTGTTAAAGTTATTTGAGATTTTAAGATTCTTTTCCACATTATATTTGCTTAGGAGTTTAATTACATCACATAAATACCCATGTTTACATCACTTCTTTTCTTATCCATCCGTATTTGAATTTAAAAAAATGCTGAAAAACAATAATAAAGAAATTATCACATAAAAGATAGTTTAAAAAAAAATAAACATATTAAACAGGATCACTCTAATTTCATTTTCTAAAAATAATTTTATGTTCCTTATGTTACTAAACAAATTCATTTAAAATAAATTATTAATAATAAAATTTTAAAAACTTGACAACAATGTTCTTTTATTATCAACATACTGTAGGTCAGGGGAGGCGAACCTTTATACACCAACGTGCCATTTTCTCTAAAAAATTGCTTAATGAGGTCATGACGTGCCGTCAAGGGTTCCAGCAGCGGGGTGCAAGGGGGTGCACATGCACCCCCCTGACTTTTTTTATAAACAATTATAGAGTGCAAATGTTTTTTTATTAAAAGTATTTTTCTTTTGAATAACAAATAATTAAATAATTATTGATACGTAACAATTAAAAAATTGTTTAATCAAACAAGAATTCTAATCGTCTTGTTAGCTGTCCAAATCTGTTTATAAATTTTTAAATGAATTCTGAGTCATCTTTGATTCTTTTCTTATGCACACTGCGCATGCACAAACTACTTATCTCTCGTGAGGCATTGTAGACCGATTCCATATTTTGATGCGTCGCATTGTACTAAAAGTGCGTTCAATAGTGCTCGTAGTAGCTGGAAGAGTTAGGCCAATTTTGATTGCCTCCGCTTCAGTTAGATAAAACGGTGTGGCCTCAATAACTAAATTGATGTATTCGAGGGATTCATAAGAATTTTCACTATTCTTCCACATTTCGTACCATGTAAATTCGTACTTTTTTTTAAGTATCTTGTTAACAACGAAGAAATGTATCTTGAAAAAAATTAACAGATGGAAGTCAAAATGTAACAGCAGAATATTTTTAAATTTTTTTTTGGGGGGGGGGNTTAAATTTTTTTTCGGGGGGAGGGGGGGGTAGTTTGTTAGAGGGTTGCACCCCCTTTTATACTATTCTGCCGGCGCCCTTGCGTGCCGTCAAATAATTTTGACTTCGTGA